AGAGCCTAGACCCTTAAGACTCAGAAGAACCAAAGAACAAAAAGAGGATCAGTTACAGAGGGCCTCAGTGCGTGGACAGGTAAACAGGGCAGCCCAAAGGCAGTGAGCTGCTGGGGCAAGACTCCCTCACATCAGTGAGCCTGCCTCCTCACTCCTGATTCTTAACTGGGTGCGAGGTAGGGAAAAGGGGTGCAGAAGTGCTTCTGCTATGCCATGCCAATCACTGTCTACAGGAAGGACTGGACTAGGTGTGCGGCCAATCCCAGTCCTGGATGACAAGCTCTTCAGGGGACAGAAGGGACTGAGCAGTACACACTCCTCAGGAGGGAGAGTGCAGGGGGCCAGGGAGGAACGGAAACAGGCAGCCGGATGCTGCGGCTCTTTTCCTGGGATGACTTTTGTTTAAATACAGCCTAGAACCTATAAATTCCAGCTTCCAGAATACTGATCCGGACAGACCTCTTAGGCTGAAGACAGGGAAACACAGGAAGTGCCTTCACAAAAAGTAAAAGTCCAAATGCCAATGAATTTAGGAGAAGCACCCAGCTCCTTAGTAAGCCAGGCAGGTGAGAAGTAGTGGTGGACTCATGGGAATGTTTGCACGCTGCCGGCGTGAACATGGGGTAACGGTGCTGGGAAAGGGGTTGGTGTTAGTGAGCAGGCCGAGGGCACACGTATCCTATGACGTGGCTACCCCACCAATTCCTCACAGGCATGTGAGGGTCTGGGGTGCACCAGGGACACAGGCGGCAACGCTCGCAACGCTGCTCACAGAGGCCCCAAACTGGACAAAGCCAAATAGTGGACAGCAGTGACGCTTCAAGGAATTGCGATGCATCAAACAACAGAATCCTACACACGAACGAAATAGGCACTGTGCAGCTAGATGCAACAGGACGGGCCGGTTTCACACACTTAGAAAATAAAAAAAAACCCGACACCAAAGAACGTATGTGGAGGTGACTTCGTTCACACTGTTTAAGGTAGGAAGCTACTGCAGCAGTCTGGAAAGAGGGCCACCTGGGGCCTCCGTGAGCAAGACTGGGGCCTCCGTGAGCAAGACTGGCTCCTCCCGCTGGCCCCGCAGGCTCAGACCCGGGCACCAGTGCGTAGGCACATTGGCTTCTGCATGCACATCTAGGTGTGTGTGCCCGCTCCAGGGCCCTCGCAGGGCTGCTGGCAGATGCCCACTCCCTCTGGAGTCCACAGGGAGGCACAGGGGCTAGGGGTCAGTTCCTGATGTGGGACCTCCTCTGATGGCACCTACTTCAGCTTCTAGTCAGCACAGCCATGGCTTAGTCCTCAGAAGCCTCACACACAAAGGGGCACACACCTGGGCCCAATTCCAGTGACAACAGCAAAACCTTCCAGTCTCTACGAACGGTGCTCAGGGTCAGTGTAGAGGAGTCCACGCTTCATATGCCAGAGAGAGGCACCCACAACTGCCTGAAAGATCACCTGAGGTCCGCTTCCAACCCAAAGGCGTCTCCATTGGAAAGTGAAAGGAAAGGTGGGGCTCGGAGGAGCCAGCCAGTGTGCCAGGCTGTGCTATTCCGAGGGTCCTACGGACATAAAAGTTAGGCCCTGGAAGACGGTGGGAACACATACCTTCCCCACCTTTCAAAAGGGCAGGTCCCTTTCACTCTGCTCCCGATCCTCTATCCCTCTGGGCAGGGAGTGCGCACTTCAGCATAGGGGCACGCTCCTCCTCGGGTGGTTCCTCAGAGACCTGCCCCTTGTGAGAGTTTCCACAGCAGCCAGGGAGATGAGGAGTGGCACACTGACATCCTGCACACTATCACCCACCACCCAGATGACGCCTGTTGCTGCTCAGGAGGTAGGTCACACAGTTCTCAAAAAAGTTTCCAGGGCATCTGACTGATGACTTCAAGCCTCCTGATCTATGTTTACAGCACACACCACCAATGTGGGGGCCAATGGGGGGACCAGAGGAGGTCAGAGATCAGGAACTGACCCAGCTTCCTTAGGCCTTACTGCGGTCACCAGAGGGAGCAGGCATGTGATGCCATCAAGATGTTCCAATATCCAAAGCGACTGTATTTTCCCATGAGGCACAGCAAATCCTGACTTACTGCCCTCGGCCGCCATGGTAACGCACTGCCCTGCATAGTGAGACACGGTCCCTTGGAGATTTCTGAGGAGGTAACTGGTAAACCAAGCCCGGTCCCCAGGAGAAGGCAGAGTTGGCCCGGAGGTATGTGCTCTCAGTTGTTCTAGCACAGGATGTAGAGGTCAGCACGGTGAGACTCTCAGGGCTCAAGGCCTCCTCAGCTCTGGAATCCAAGGGTCAGGGTCAACACGGAACAGAGACCTGACAACACGGTCTAGTCCCATCTGGTGTCCATGACCATGGCTAATCCTTGGGGTCTCCAGGCCTCACTTCCTCATTTGTAAAGTGATGCAGTTAAGCCAGCTCAGGTCTATAAAGATTCAAAGGGTTGGCAGATATTTCGTTCCAATTTTATTTTTTAAATGTATCTTATTTAAAATCTGTAATTAACACAACACCTCCACCACATCTGTTGTTACTAAATTTGAATACCCTGAGGTCTCCCAACACATGAATGCAGGGGGCCAGAGTAGCTCGTCACTGGGCAGTCTCCATAATGCCTTTCCAGTTGTCAGTCTATCAGAGACTTTCTTACAACAAGAGTCATTTTTCATAACAGATGCCATCTGATCTGGATGAGTGTGGATTTTCTCAAGACAGTGCAACCAGAACCAAACACAGAAACATGCATGCTACGGCTGATCTGGACAGCTGGTGTCATGGACATTTGCGTCATACAAGCAGACATCTCATCTTTACTGAGCAGACATTTAAACTTATAAATAAATTAGTGTTAACAGTATTTTTATCAGTCTTATAGACTGATGCACTGCAGCAGAGGTAGGGGTTCCCCTAAGCAAAATGTTTGCAAACCACAGGCCAAGGTGACCCTGTACACACTAGGAGAATCTAGGCAAGGCCGTCCTAGTCCCTGCTGCCCCAGGAATCCCTGCCTGTTCCTGCCATGAAGATAATGTTAGTGATTCCGAGTAGCACGGGGCTCTGGGTTGTTATATATTGCAGATGACCAGAACAAGCCACCCCCAAACATGCCACTTTAGCATGAGGGCTGTTTTGAGCTTATTATTTTGACTACAGAGCTGATACTGTACAAATAGAGTAGAAGTTACTCTTTAGTCAGAAAAATACACATCTATAAAGGAAATCTCTATTTGGAAGGACGTCTTCTCCTCTGAACCAGGAAGAGAGGGATAATTAAATCAAATAAAAAACTTCTACCAGTGGAGAATCTGCCTCACAAACCTTCCTCTCACTAACTGTGCTTTTTCTGGACACCTCCCCCATCTGGTTCCCCGGGAAGCAAAGCCTTCCTCTTTGTTTCAGAAGATGATGATGTTTGAGTGTAAGGCAACTCCCTCTCTGAGAGGTGCTCATCCGCGACCTGCCCACAGGCGGCATGCATGTTAGTAAACTTGATCGTCTTCCTCCGGCTAAGCTGTCTTTTGTTACAGGGATCTGTGCCAACTACCAACTAGGTACAGGGAATTGTTTTTGTTCCCTACTGTGTATCCTTTCTGGATTGATCTCAACACGGTCCCTGTGAGTGGTCTGAGATGGAAGACCTGGGCATCAAGCTACTTCCTGGAGCAACTGCTCCTCTGCAGTTCTCCTCTACCCAGGGAGCTCCTCCCATGTTGGCTCAGTTGGTACCGGACCAGAAGGGAAAGGAATCGAAGGCACACAGATGCAGACACGTGTGTGAGTGCACACATGCACGTGCTCCAGGGAGACAGGGCGAGCTACATTCAGGACTCCGTGGAAAGGGATAAACACAGGACTCGTCATTTGATGAGAGATGAGGCAGCCAACTCACCATGCCATTCCTTTCCTTTATTTGGTAAACGAGTGTCAACCCCATCAGAAACAGGCCTTTAAATGAGCACTTCTGTTGCAGATGAACTGCATTTTTGCAGCAGCAGCACATCAGGAATGACAGCCCAGCACTAAAAATAGGAACTACGTGTTTTACAGAAACATCCAAGAAGCCGGAAGTTGGAGCGGCTGA